CCCCCCACGAAACGCCTTCTTGCATTTGAAATGCGTGCGTCTTGTTGATCAGGCTTTAAAATCAGTTTAGATCTATTTTGCACCTACACAGGGCCCAGTTTTGATCGAAACTGGGAATCCATTGTATCACCCGGTGCTTTGTTTGTGATGCAACAGATACTGCATGCAGGTTTCACGAGCGTGTACGTAGCACATCAACTGCCCTGAGAATAGCGAGCCCCAGAGCCCCCCCCGAGATTTTGATTGTGGGTGGTTGATGCGGACAGCACGGCAGGCCCTCGTCGGTCATTCCTCGCCGGCCGGCGACGCGCGCGCTTCGCATTTCTTACCAAGGGCCCGCCCGCCCCCGTTATTTTCGCGGAATATATCCAAGATCATGGCGCCTTTAGAAGCACCTTATGTTTTTTAACCGCACTGAGAATGGCGTCTTTTCATTGGTCAGCAGCAGGTGGGCGCGGCCGATGAAGTAGTGAAACGCACACAAAGCTACGTACATCGATATTCACACTCTGCACGCTACTGGCAAAAGGCTCACCCCCCCCCTCCGGAGTACGCCGGCAGTGCCGCACTACGCTCCTGGAGCCTTTCAACTTTTCACAAGATGGATATTTTTGGTTTCTCATTGTCAACGTAAATACCCTCGGTCCGCCGACAACGAACGCTATGCAAGACGTGCATCCCCTCGCTCCGCTGTGGCGGCCGATATTTAAGGCGAAGCTTCCAATGTGCTTACTTGCCGCTCGCTTTTCTACTTCCGCTCCCCGCGTACGCCCACCACGCGCCATACACGCCTGAAAAAAAATACCAGGTCCGGTGGGCTTGGCATCGAGCCCGTTGCTGTCTGAGTATGCAAAGAGCGTTGCTGTCGTCGACATGGGTGAGTTGACTCTCAATTGTTTGTTAGCCCGCGCACTTTCGATTATTGAGTGGAATGTTTTTAAATTTGTGACACGTGCAGCTGCGTTTCCACCCACTCCATGGGATCGAAGTCTACCCAACCTAATCCTTAACCCCGGCACATGATCGGATTAAAGTTCCACCCCAAATGTTAGCCGAGTCGTTGTTGAAAGGCCGGCTGGACCGCAGGCAGATAGACGAAGTTTTCGCATGCTGCATCCCCGTGTGCGCGTGTCTTGACGATGGCTGCCGCTGGTTGCCCTGGAGGGTGGTTCGTCGCACCCCGAGGCCTCCAATAGTGAACGAATCGACCGCATTTTTATTTTTCTTGCGATATCATGGCACCTCGTTGCCTATTTCCCTCTTGCTGGTAGTTTGTATCTCTTGTCATGTTCTATCTCGTCCGTTGGTTGGTTGTTTTTCGTGTTTGTTGTTGTTGCTCGGTCGTCTGTCTGTTTTATTGTTTTTTTTTAACGCTCTCGTTTGTATCTTTTTTTCATTTTTTCATTTTTCTCGATTTGTGTGTTCGCAAGAGCACTTGAGGCTGATTTTTCCGGTTGTTCGTGCGATCTCCTTTCGCCGTTCGCTCTCCTTGCGCGACCGAACTGTCTTGAATGTCCGATTCCCGCCTCTTTCGTTCGCCCCCGGTGCCTGGTGCCTGTACCCATCTGCTTCGACCTCTCGCACCAGATGTCTCCGGCTTTCTATATCTCTGTCTCTGTCTCTCTGTCTCTCTCTCTCTCTCTCTCTCTCTCTCTCTCTTTTTCTCTCTGTGAATGTGAATGTGAGTGTGAATATTATTGTGTGCTTTTTCAATTGGCATCGGCCGCACTAACCAGCGGGTCAAATGAAACGACGTCAGTCTTTGGGTGTGCATGCCCCCCCCCCCCTCCCATTTTTCTCCTGTGCCACCCTAACTACGACTGATCCTGCCCGCATGCTTCTGTATCTCCCGTATTCTTCCGTGCCTGCCTGGGCCTGTCCTCCCCACAACGAAAACAAAAAAGACGACTCGCTGCCCTCCGGCGTGAGCTTCTGGCAAGGCGACTTCCGGGTGCACATCTACCGCCTGTCTCACGAAGAGCCGGAGCAGGAGATGATAGACGGGGCGGGTGAGGAGGAAGAGATAGCGGCGTGCGACCAGTGGGTCTTGCCTGCTGCAAGCTTGGAAGGGGTGAGTTTAGTGTTGCTTGTGGCCGCCGCGCGCTTGGAGACTGTTCTGTTTGTTGTACATGAACCAATCGTTTTTGTTCGTATGCTTGTAGCAGGCGTTGTTCTGCTCCTCTTGCTCCTCTCTCTGTGTGGGTGGCATTGTCCCCAAGCAAGGATCCTTAGAGCATCGGGTACCTCGCTCACACTACGTTACGGTGATGCCACACCCAGTGGTGTCGTATCCGTGGATTGGGTCAAACACTTGCCACATGTCTGCTGAGCCCTGGCTCTATCCCCCCGCGGGATGGGATGCTTGTGCCATCGGGTGGTCGGAAGAACTACAGCCCTGCCCCTAATCCCAATCCCAACCCCAACCCCAACCCCAATCCCAATCTCAATCCCAATCTCAATCCCAACCCCAATCCCAATCTCAATCCCAATCTCAATCCCAATCTCAATGCCAACCCCAACCCCAACCCCAACCCCAATCTCAATCCCAATCTCAATCCCAATCCCAATCCCAATCTCAATCTCAATCTCAATCCCAATCCCAATCCCAATCCCAATCCCAATCCCAGGTGTGGGAAAGCTTGGTTCTCGCGCGGGGAGTGAAGAACCACCTCCTGGAGTACGCAACCTCGGCCCTGCTCTTCACGGACAAGGGTGTCAGCAAGAACGTCATCTCGTGGAACAAGTGAGCCATCCAAACCTTTTCAGTTTTTAGAAAGTAAACATAATCTCACAGAAAGACTACCCGTTCGAAATATAACCTCAGTGGAGAGGGTATGTGGTGAAGTTTTTTCTGTAAAGTGGATTTGTTTGTTTTCAACCGTGGGCGTTGCGTTCGTCCCAAGCACGACGCATGCATGCCCACAGCCGTTGTTGGATATGTGGTCGAACCGAGTGAAATCGGATCCTACCATCCATCAGGTGCTCAATCAGGTGTTACGCTCGGGGAGCAAGAAAACGTGGAACGGGAGCCGATCCCACGATCAAGTGGGTAGTGTAGGTTGCTATTCGTTGAACTGGAGTGGAATCGGATCCACGTTCAGAACCAAGTGACACCCTACGCAGACCCACGGCGTGTAGCGGGGGAGAGGTGGATACCACGCGTTATTCCACCGGCCGCTCGTAACTTTCTGGACTGCGAGTATCACTGCTAAGCTGCTAAGATAACCATCCTCTGTGCTGCCAACGACGCACGGAACAGGGTGGTTTTGCTTCACGGCCCCCCGGGCACCGGCAAGACCTCCCTGTGCAAGGCCCTGGCGCACAAGCTCAGCATCCGCCTCGGCGACAGGTACTCCACCGGGCAGCTGCTCGAGATCAACGCTCACAGCCTCTTTAGCAAGGTGGGGCAACGGCACCTCCACCCGTGTTCTCTTTGGCACGGCGAGGCACCCCCCCCCGCGCGCATTCTTGCAGTTGTATTCCAAGAGGTTGGTGTGCTGGTGTGCAATTCCACCACCGCCGACCTCCCCCCGTGTGTGTGAACATTACCTGAGGCTGGGAGCAGGGATATGGTACGATTCGCTCTCGGGCTTCGTGAATCCTGACTCTGACGACCGAAAGTACGAGCCAGATCACGCCCCCCCCCCGCATTTCGCCTTCGCCGGCCCCCCGGCGCCGAAACGGCTTGGTTCGCCGGACGGCGGTTCAATACCACTCTGAATGTTCATTCCACCAGGGGCTCCGCCGAATGAAGATGTTCTCCTTTCTTCCGTACAGTGCGTTACTTCGGTGCACCTCTTGCACTGAATATGTGGTGCGTCCGATACGGAGTGGGGTTGCTTACGCGGAAAGATGGATGGATCCCTGCCCCCGAGAGCAATCCCCGACCCTTGCTGTCTGCTTCCGCGGACCATGTTTCTTGCCTTCCCTTCGACATTCCCACTCCATGTAACGTTTACTTTTCCGCTCCTCCTCTCTCTCTCTCTTTCTCTCTCTCCTTCTCTCTTCCGTAACTCCTATTTCTCTCTTTCGCTCTTTCTCTCTCTCTCCTTCTCTCTTCCGTGACTCCTCTGTTGTCTCTCTCTCTCCCCCTGTTCTATCATGCCTCTTTCTCCGTGGTGATTCCGACAGTGGTTTTCGGAGAGCGGAAAGCTCGTGCAACGACTGTTCGAGCACATCCTGGAGCTGGCGGACGACGAGGACAGCCTGGTCTGCGTTCTCGTAGACGAGGTAGGGAGTACGAATCTTCCAAATCTACGAATCTATGGTGCTGTAGCATCCGCCATGCGGAAGAATCTTTGGTGAAGCGGTGTGATTTGGTGTGACGTTCTCGTAGACGAAGTATAGTATATACCTACGACGCCGCAGATTCAACCGCAGTATTCAACGATGAAGCAGTGTGATTTTGTTGTGACCTGTTGTAGAAGAGATAGATTCAAATCTACCAAAGCTACCATATCTACGATGCTGCAGCATCCACCATACGCCCGCAACGTTCTATGATGAAGCAGTGTGATTTTATGTGACATTTCGCAGAAGAGGTAGTCACACATCTATCAAATCTACCAAATCTACCAAACCTAACAAACCTACGATGCTGCAGCATCCACCATACGCCGTCAACCTTCTACGATGAAGCAGTATGATAGGAAGCGATCCTGCCGCAACACGCTCGCGGAGGCTGATCGAGTTTCCACTTGCCGCGGATTCATTTCCAGGTCTCTCTGTTGTCGTTATGAGTGTTTCTACGCCCCCCCCCCCACCCCAAACATTGCCTGGGCTGGGGAAACCGGGCATATCGCTCGGCCGTGGCATTGTAGGCATGCGCGATCAACGGTCTAACAACAACGGCATGCACTTGCATGACAACCCCAGGTGGAAAGCCTGACGGCCGCGAGATCGGCTTCCATGGGGGGCAACGAGCCCTCGGATGCCATGCGAGTGGTGAACGCGGTGCTCACCCAGGTAAAGAGCCGTTGATGTATCGTTGTAGCAAGGGAACGGCGAAGTCGACTCAAGCAGGTCGCTCGCCCCTTCCCTTTCTCCCTTTCGTCTCCCTTTCATTATGTCTTCTGAAAACCCAAGAATATTATGAGGTACATTTAGACCGCCACAACCGGGAGGTAAGGGCGTTCTTCACTGCAGGCCCCGACTCCGTCTTCACTTCCTTGAGTGTTTTCCCTCGATGCTGTAGCAGATGATGCCCTACTTGCGGTATCAAGCCCTGATCCGGCCGGCTTTCCTGCAGCTCGTGCTTCGGCTTTGTTGTGTTCACGTCGGTGTTGTGCCGGGTACTTCAACGGGATAGATGGTGCCCGTGAACCCAACCCCCCGAGTACTGAGAAGGGCATATCCGCGCAGTTGTTTTTCCGCTACAATCAGGCTGACATCTTCTCATTAACCAGCCGGCTGGCACGGTCGATGCTAAGTATAGCACACTACAGAACGCGTGTTTTCGTTGTCCATAACGCGTGTGTTCGTTGTGTTTATTCGCCGTGCCTACCGGGTGTTTGTACGGTGTGCACTGGAATACATTTAACGAACGCTGTTTTGGGTGCTGCATTAAATTGTGAAATTTGTCGTGTGTTGTGTCGCGTCCAATGCTCCCGTCCCTTGAGTTTGCTTGCTTCCCCCCTCCCCCCTCCCTTCCCTTCCCACGTTGCCGCCAAACCCACTCTCCACCGCCCGCAACTTACGCCGGTGGATGGTGGATCGACGGATCCAATCGAAACGTTCGTCCGGTGCACCCACTCACTCACTTCCTGGTCCGGTCTGATCTAAAGATCGACAACCTTCGGGAGAGGGACAACGTCCTGGTCTTGACTACCTCAAACGTGTCCGAGGCGATCGACCTGGCGTTCGTTGACAGGGCAGACATCAAACAGTGAGTCGGCCAGTCACCTCGGGCCGGGCATCGTTTTCGACGTTAACAGAATCAGACTACTATAGGGAATCAGCAATCGATGCCACTGGTTGGTCGAAAAAGCAAACAAAAAAGAAGGCAAGGTCTTTTTTTTTTTCAAGTCAGGATCTTTTCATGCAAAATTCAGGATACTTGTATTTGAATTTCGGGACAGGAGAACCAATTTTGTTTATTGTTGTTGTTGCGTTTTTGTGACTTTTATCGAACTTCGTAAATGCTGGGGCCCTCAGTCGCAGATGCTGCCTGTGCTTGCGTACAATCCACAACTTGGAGAGCGACACCCTAAGCTCATCGTTCTTTACTCCTTCTTGTCTTAGCCCACAGAGTGGGACCAACATCAAAACCCGCACCGAGGCGATCAGGCCGCCAGGGCCTCTTGCACCACGTGCACTTACGACTTAACGCCGATGAGCATTCGCTTCCTCCACGGGTACACACGCCTCTTCGCTTCCACTCTCGCCCATGAGCATTCGCTTCCCCTCACCGATTCACAAACCCCGCGCCGCCGCCGTCGCCGCCGTCGCCGCCAGGTACATCGGTCTCCCCACCGCCCCAGCACGGTACCAAGTCCTCCACTCGTGCCTAGAGGAGCTGGTGAGAGTGGGCATCATCTCGCCGCCGTCCCACCTGCCGCCGTCCTACTCGAAAGCGGTGGGGCTCACGGCGGGAGCGGCGGGGGCGGCGGCAGCCCCGTCGGCGTCTCCGTCGTCTTCTTTCCCATCCGCCGGTGCACCGCCGCAGCCGGCGTCTGGCGAGGACACATCCCGAAGAGGTGGTGGTGGTAGTGCATCTGCCAGCCTGTGGGAGGAGAAGGGCGAAGGAGATGGAGACGGAGGAAGAGAACGCGTCGCCAACGGCGGTGGCAACAGCAACGGGGCGATCGGTCTGGAACCGGACGGCGGGGGTGACGTAGTAGTGATGGACACCGACGGGGGAGGGGCGCCGCAAATCAGGTGGGGGTAAGGGGCTGTTTTTTGCCCCCGAATCTTGTTTTTCAATCGTCGGATGCTCATAACCCTTGCCACTCACTGCGGTGGCACACCTGTTAGAACGGTTCACCACGGGTTGCCTAAGGCTTGTTCCAGGCTATTCCTGCATGTTCTGTCGTGGGTTTAAAATGAGGCGTTATTCTCTCTACCGTGGGAAAGCTTCGTGCGCGCGCCCCTCCGTCGAGAATGAAAATATTACGACTACCACCCGAACGAATAGTTGTGAATGATACCAGGTGAGGGATTCGGTTCGCCGTGCTTTCGAGTGAGGCGTGACGTGCGGGAAATTCGAGGCATGTGCTGATTGTTGCCGTTTGCGCTATATCTATGTGAGGCTCTTGCTCTTGTGGTGTTGAGAACAAGCCCCACCCGTATGCACAGCACACAGCTAGAGAATACCATCTATAACTGTCGTAGTTTTTTGAAACGATTGAACTCCGGCCGACTCGATTCGCCCTCTCATGCTCTAGTGGTGTCGTGGTCATGAACTTAACCTCCATCCCTCTGGCAGGACTACCCCGGGGCTGAACCCGCGGCAGCCGCTCTCTTTTTCACCACGTCATGACTCACTCCCCTTCGCTTTGCAACATTCCCGCTTTCACACTGAGCTTCACCCGCCCACCGTTCGCTTTTCTGGCATGCGATGATCACGAGCCGTTACTGCTCCGTTGGAGTTGACTTGCTATTCTATTCCATTGGAATGCCAAGACAATCCCCTCCCGATATCCGGTTTGATTCCGTTCCCGTGGTCAATGCTGTGCTGTATTTTTCTTTTCCTTGCCCCCTCGTCGTCGTTGTCCAATTTTGTCTTTGTTGCCGTTCTTTGTTTTGTGCGTGCGTTGTTCATGTTCTTTGGTTGTCTTTTATTGGCGAGTTTTCTTCTTGGCGTGTTTTGTTCATTTCTTTTTCTTTCTTCGGTTGCCTTTATTTTGTCGTATTTCGTTCATGCCTTTTTTTTCTTCCTTTGTCTTGCACCGCCACGTTCCGCTGGCAGAACTGGACTACATGCAGGGTCAGAGGCCCTTCTAGAGGTGGCTCGCCTGGCGGAGGGGCTCAGCGGACGAGCGCTGCGGAAGCTGCCGTTTCAGGCACACGCCTTCTATGTGCAAGTGAGACAGAGACACACCCTACAGCAGTAAGAGTGAGACACACCCTACAGCAGCAAGAGTGCAAAGCTTCTAGAAGTACGTGCGAGTTAGACGTAGACAAAAAGACACCCCTACAGCAGCAAACGAGATGACGAAGAGAGACAAAAAAGGAAAAATGTGGTAGCCCTCACCAATTTTGGACGATCGATCGTACTTGCAAAACCATCGAGTGTGTATTTCTTTGTTCTTTTGGGAACGCCTTCTGATGAACTGTAGGATCTGTTTTTTCACGCCATTCGCCCCACTCTCTTGCCTGCCTGGTTTGGCAGTGACGAGGACAGCCGTTTTCCAAATGCAGCATGCATTGGAAACATCTCTCTTCGTTTCTCGAACGTTCTCGCGTTCCCAATTTTTACTACGAATCATGTTTTTGTGGACTTCCCTCCATGCCGTTATTGTGTGCAAATAATTGGGGCGTTGGCCTAAACCGGGGGAAGCTATTTCATTTATTCAGGCTCGGCATCATGCCGTTTGTGTCCGAATAAAAGCGATAAATCCTCATCGCCTAGCGTGGGAGTGATTTCATTTTTGTGTTCAAGCCCGGCGCCTCCTCCAGACAGAACATTCGCCAGCCTCTTTCGCACGCCTTCGGTTTCCCACAAATTTCTTGTGGAACCCCGCCCGCTCCAGCCCTCACCCATCCCGTTTATCTCCCGGCAATGCCCCCATACCCCCTTTTCATTAGTTTCTCTCTCGGGGACATGCCTCCTTGGCTGTGAGAATTCCACGCATACCTTGACACAAAACTATTGCCTGCCAGGCTTCAGGCTAACCCTGGCCCCTATTCGGGAAGCCATGGCTCCTTTCGAGACACGCGACCTTCGGCTTAATTCACTCGTGAAGCGATGGGAGCGTTGGGTCTCATGATGGATTCCCACAGACCCACACGCCCGCTCGTTCACACGAATCCTTAACCTTATGAAGAGTTTACGCTCACAGCAGCTCGGGTGTGGTGTGTGACGAACTGTTTTCCCTGAAGAGGGATTCTTGTTCGAATTGAGCGCCGTCCACGCTCTGCAACGTGCAATTGTGAACCCCCACGCGATGGTCTATTGAAAGGCTGGTGTTTTCCTGCTTGTTGTACTTTCACATGCACGCTCCCGCCATATTGGCTATCGACTAAGTAAAAAACAGCCAATTTTTTTCGAATTTTTTATCTAACAAACGACGCCCTCCTCTCTTGTCTTGTGTGGCCTGCAGAGGCAATCGTGCACGCTGGCGGAGTTCCTGTCTGCGATGACCCGGGCCGTTCACAAGGAGCTGGGGGACCGCCGGAGCCTGGAGACGCACCGATGACGAACGCGAGGAAACATGTGGTGCGATTTCTTTTTCGTGACGGGTAGAGAGGGGTAGGAGGGGTTTGGTCCTGTAGATGGATGTTTGGTGGTCAGGTTCTGGTTAGAGATTGACCTACGGGGTGGTGGTTGTTTGCCAGGATGTGGTGCATATAACTTGGGGGTGGTGGGGTTGTCATTAGCAGGCATTTTTTTTGGGAGGTGGATTCGGGATTTGGCGGTACAAATCGTCATGTCTTTGTTCATAGTTGCGTGCTGTTGTTTGTGATTCAGTTGCGGTATGATGACCAACTATGGAGTTAGGCACTGCAGCAGTGAGTCATGGTGACGTTTCTGCATTCTACATGTATGAATCAACCAGTAACAATTGGGAGAAAATGAGTGCCTTCTCCTGTTCTCTCGCTTCCTGAGCGGTATGCGTCTTCATGCTTTCAAATAGACATGCACATCCCGACAAATTTTGCACACGTACGTTGTTCGGACATTGTTCACGGAAAATTGGTACCATTTCATGAACGACCCATGCGAGTGTGCAAGAAAGATGACTAAACCTCTATGCGGCGTAGGACACCACCAAGTTCGTCCGCGACAAACCACGCAAAGGAAGGTACATTGCACCCAATGCATTCAATCATTTCAACGACGAATTGCATCGACGACTGGATTCCTCCTCTTGTTTTCTGGCGTAGTGTATTCGTTAGATTGCCGATGAATTCGTCCGGACGTCGTTGGCGAGTTAATTTGTAGTCATGCCTCTTTCTCCTCAGATCTGATCTCCACGAAAGGTTTGTTGAGACCATAATTTTGTGTGTGTCTGGCGTCGGTCGAAACAACAGGAGGAGGCTCTGATGAAGTGAAACTAGAAAAGAAACGTTGGCATCTCTCCATGATCGAGCGTCACCACGTCTACCCCTGAGATGATTATTGCTCAACCGTGAAGGAGGCGACCGGCGTGTGGTTCGCTCTAGAGACGGTTCCTGGGATCGTCGATGCGTCCGCGGTTTTCAGTTTTTGGTGATGTCCCGAGAGAAAACTCACTTGTTTGATGAGTGAGAAAACAACGTAGACCCATGCTGAATTTGACCGTAACAGACTTGCCCCTGAAATGGATCCCATGTCCGGGCCCCGGCCTCTGCTCCATGCCTCTGCGGCATGGAGCGAACGTGAGTTGTATGGAGGCGGGAGAGCACACATACAACCACTGTCAACACCTGTGCGAGGTAATATGCACAGTATGTGCGCCAAAACGCGATATCTCGCCAGCTTGATGTGTTGGACCACCTCCTACCCAGAATCGCGAACCAACCGCAGGTCGACGCGGGGTTCCCAAGATCGGCCGACCAAACGTAGACTGAAGCAAGCACGGAACGTGTGTTGTGGCCCCAACATGACCGTCGTGAAACGGCCCCGATGTACATTCGTATCTCCGCAAGTGTCGAGTCATGGAATGAAATATCGCCCCGGATCGCGCATGAAGAGATACCCGTCGGATCGTGCACCATACCCGTCGGATCGCGGCCCCTCCTTCTCCTCTTGCTGCCCACATGTTGTTTGAGAGAGCCACCGCATGGGCATGTCTTCAACAAAGTGCCGCCAGCCGCCTTGTGATCAGACATGTGGTACGTACATACATGTCCTGCGGCGAAGTGGATTCCATGATATTACGTGGAATGAAAGATCGCAGAGGGTCGCGGAGGAAAAAATATATTCAACTTGTCGGATCGTGTCCCGATCTTCTTCTCTTGCTGTTGACATGTTGTTCGAGACAACCACCTCACAGAGTGCTCCTCAACACACACACCCCGCCGGCCATATTGCCAAACACGTATAATATCCGCACCCACCACGTTGGTGTCTATAAATCTTCGGCCGAAACTCACCAACTTGATCTGCACCAAAGCGCGATATCCCGCCAGCTTGATTAATGTGTTGGACCATATCCTACCGATTTTGGCGAACCTGCAAGTCGACGCCCGTTTCCATGATCGACCGCCAGCAATATGCACTGAAGCTAGCACACGTGCTACATGTGGTGCGCCTGAGCACGTGATCACGTTGTGTGGCACATACGTCTGCATCTCCTCATGTGTTGGTTGAGGAAGATCGCCCTGGATCGCGGATGAACAAATAGTCTACCCGTCGGGGGTCGTGTGAATGAGGAGCCCGTTGGATCGTGCATGAAATGCTGTAGTGTCTCCACAACGAGGATCATTTCATTAATGGAGATCTGCATGGTGGAGCAAATAAGAGACTACTCCACCGGTGGAGCAATGGAGCAATAGCATTGCCGTAAAGTATTGGATTTGGGTGAGGCCTCCTGCGCCCGCCTGTGGTCCCGTCTATACTTCGTTGCCTCCGTTGAAAGTACCAGAGGAACTCGTCCAATCTTCTTAACACGCTGCCAATCGGGGGAATGGTGTACGGTATCAGTGACCTGCACACGCAGTGAAGTCCTGCTGGAACGTTAGAGACAGAGGCATCTCGCTAGCCTCTACGTAACCCTGGCCTCGTTCCGCTTGCTACCGCTTACTGGAGCGCTAGTGGTGGGACCAATATAGAATCGCGCCACCGACTCCGTCTTCCAACCTCCGATCTTCATTATTTCGTCTACCGCTGTCCCTTCAAGGGACTTGCTGAGGGAGCCTCCTACCCGAAACGAATGCATGGTGAAGTAGGCCGGCAGGCTCGCCACCCGTATGTGCCCGTGTAGGGCTGCCGTCATAAGAGCAGCAATGAGAGGGAAGTTGCCGCGTTGTCCCGCCGACGTAACCCCCGGGAACAAGTGTCCTGTCATCAGGTCCCACCCCACGCATCGAGCCGCCGCTATGTACTCGGTGACCACGCGGTATGCGCAAAGGTCTGGGCAACCCGGGTCTGCGTACCAAACTGAAAATTAAAGATGAAACCGCGCGAGACGGGGAGCTTGAGGATCTGGGATCCCAAGGTGACCGATAAATCGTTGCGCATCGTAAAGACGCCAGAGAGAACAGGACGATATCCCGCGTCAAGGGAACGAGCTCCGCAAGCTGAGGCGCCACTTGTGCGCGAGAGCGCATGTCAGTCAGGAGGTCCACAAGTGTGTGCTCCAGCATCGGCGGAACTTGTGCACCGCCACTCCCACCTTCTTCTGTTCCTCGGAGACGAAAGTAAGGTAAGAGTCCACCAAAGGGCTACAACATGGGTTGCCAACCCGTCGGACAGGGTCCCAGCCCGCACCCTACCTGTTCTCCTTCATCGCCATTTGTGTTTTTCGACAAGGCCTGTGCGGAGCGAGTGGGCGGCGTAGCGTCGAGCACACATGGATATCGCGAGGCACCTGGCAGCCCCCAGGGAACCCACGCCCGGGCACGCCCGCTCATTCACCGCCTTACAGAGTACCTTTGCCATGAGTGTCCAGAAAACAGAGGAGTTCGATAACATCGTCCGGGGTCGCTGTCTGCCAACCCCGGCAGCCCCCTGAGACCAGTCATCGGCCACCCGGCCTTTTCGCACTTGCCCAGGGTGCCCTGACCTTGCGGCTAAAGCTTGAGCGAGACGGGCCTGTACCTGGGCCATGTCCACCGCGATCGGTACTTGCTGCGGATACCGCGATGTCGGTAACTCCCCCAATCGTATTGGAAATGGGCCAGGTTCTCGTCGTAACAAGCAGAACAAAATGCAAACCGCACAAAAGTCTCTGGCCGTAGCGGGGGGGGCGGCGCCCAAAGCGACGAACCGCCGGCCGCGTACTGCGCGAAGAGCGAAAATGTGGGGGGGGGTAAGAGGAGGGGGAGTGGGGTCCCTTCATGAGCATGGCGAACTTGAAAGGCGGGCCAAACCGCCACAGGCCACCTAAAGGGCCTAACGGAAGTCCACCTCGTACGCTACCATCATCCCCCAACGTTGGTAACACCACGGCTTCAAGAGCCCATGAGGGCTGGACCACTGAAAGCGACCCCGTTGAGCCCGCGATGCCACCGTGACCGACCTGACCACTGCACGCTGCACGAACAGAAACCAGTACGCCTAACTTCGGGCAAGAGAAGCACCGCATGTGCCTTACCCTCGGCCAAATGTGTTTTACCCTCCGCGTCACTGAAACGTCCTGAGCTAAAACATCAACGCCAGCGGAGCCTGGGCAGTCATGCCGCGAGAAAAAGGGAAGGGGCTCCTGAGAACCCGGGGGGCGGAGGGCCGACGCGGTACAGGCCATGAGGTCTATCGTGAAGGGACCCAATTCGCCCCACACGTGCTTCAACGGTTCCGAGCGCGCCGGCGATTGAACGCGCCCACCACCGACTGGTTGTCCACATCGACGAGTACTTGCGCTTGCCTGAAGACCTCAGGGGATCGAGTGCAGAACTGCCGCAGCAGGTAGTATAGCTCTCCTTCTGGTTGATGTGCTTGGACAACCAATCCTCCGGGAACATCCCTCTCGCGGGGAAGGCGCCCAACACGGTGCGGACTACTCCCCCCACGCCACCGACGACGCGTCAACGCCCGTGTTTGCAGGGCCACGGTAAGGTGCCGACCCGATGCCACGGAGGCTCGTGCGACGTAGTCGTAATGCTCAACCACTACTTGATCTCGCCGGCGAGACCAGCGTTAGAATCGCACGAGAGGTCGAGGACGTGCCCAACTTCTCCAACGCCGCGAAGTACGAAACATAGCACGCGTCCGCAACGACGCCGGCCGAACTGCCACAGTCATGCTCATGCATTTTCCCGCTATGCGTGGAGCGTACGGAAAGGCAGTCGTCCATCACCAACGGCCGTACGGATCAAGAGATGCAGCTTGTCCAACCTGTCCTGAGGCACTCCAAACATGGCCGCGGAGGAGTCGCACATCATGCCGAGATACGGCTGCAGTTGTTTCGGTCGCAGATCACACTTCTTGGCTGACAGGAATTGGCCGCAAAGGAATGAGACCAGCATCGCCACATGGGTAGGTTCCCCCGCTGCGAGCCATTGCTCCTGCGCAGACACCCTCAGGGAAGCAAGAAAGTTACGAATACAGGAGGTG